GTTTGTCCATGAATAAGTTTAGGAATTATGCAAGTGCCTTTCTTACCTTTCGCTAAATCCTGAAAATATATGGTGTCCAAAGTGCGGTCCGAGGGCAACGTGGTGTCTAAGGCGGCCGTCTCCAAAGGGTGAATGACAACTCACTGAAGACATGGGGCTCCTGTGAAAGAAAATATTTTTTTTATATAATATATAATTATATTTATATATATATATATATATATATTTATTTATTTATAGGTGGTCCTTAATATGGACATTATCGAATATATATTATTGTGCATCTCTGCTATAATTTTATAATTAATTTAGTATTACGAAAGATTATTAAACTTTATTGAATATTATATTTTGTTCCCAGTAATTCACTCATACAGATGCGTGAAAAATCCTTCTGGAAAGATCTTTGTAATTATGTTTAACTAAGGATTTTAGTTTAATTTAAATTCGGCAACATCTTCAAAAGTAACCTCCAAAATGTAAAAGTTTATAAATCATCTTTTCAATCATTTGCTAATCTTCTGTGAACGTCAATGAAATTTAGAATATTTTATGTAAATTTTATATAATAACGTAAATGGCAAATCATGTGTAAATGTGTTTAATTGTGAAATCCCTATATACAACCAGCGACAATTACAAGCTAGGGTGGTCCTTAATATGGACATTGTCGAATTTCTTTGCTCCCAAACGCTCAAACGCTTCCGAATTAATAAAAGAAAATCTTCTAAAAGTTTTAGCTTCAAATATTAATATTTAGACAGTCCGCAATTCAATTAAACTTTCGTATATTTATTATTAACATATATCATTAAGTAAATTCTTGCACCATCTGTGATAACAGGCTTGTAATTTTAATGGAAAATTTATTAGTGATAATTTGAGTGTCAAAATCACCAAATTAAATAAATATTTTGCTGCAGAATTAATTTTGATGTCATGATGACTAAATATTTCGTTAAACAGCCCACATAGATTTCATTAGAGGTTAAGTAAGTAATTTATCAATATTTATATGCAGTTGCTTAAATAGAATGTTTCATTAGAAAAATACAATAAAATTAGGTATTCCTTAAGGCAAATTGCAACAAAAATTGATCAATGATTAATTACAGTTCTTCTAAATATTTCCTTTCAAACAAATCAACTTTCAAACATCTTTTAAGGCACTAGAAAAACCAAAATGTTATTTTTGCCTAAGTATTTCTTAGTAATCGTAAAATATATATTGTATTTGAAAAAAATCACAATAAATCTAATGCAAAAAACTATTGTATTATTATTGTAATTGACATAAAAAAGCAAAAACCATCAAATAAGTCGCATTTACAGCTAGTTATTAAAAATTCCATAACATTTACATAAAATTCATTTTCAAAAAATTGACAGATCATTTGCGCGCTCTTCTTGACAGATCATTTTCGCTCAACTGTCAGCTCAGGTGTCATAGTATTTTCAATGACACCGACAGAGGGCAATTGCATCGATATCGATACTACCAAGGTTCCTATCTTCACAACTATCTATGGTCTATACGAGTTTACCTTATAACAATTCTCGACGAATTCTTTCATTTGGTGTCTGCATTCAGTAGGCATTACATCTTAGGCGTTTCGACCCGGCGCCGAAGCACCGGGTCGACGCCTTTACGTGTTCACGTGCCGAAAAGAATCAGGGCCGTTGTGATAATAAAATTTGTGTTTTGTAATAGATTGTGATTAGTAAGTGTTGCATAGCATGTGGATCGAGGATTTTATATTAAAGGTACGTGTCAGAGTTGACTGCAGATATAACATTTAGATGATACATATTTTTATTTTTTTTATTTTATTTTAAGGCCGTTTAAAATTAACTAAATTTGAAAAACTAAAATTCTAAATTGAATATAAATAATTTTTATTATATTGAATTAAATATTTTATTGAAAATATATAGAAATTGAACATTATTATATAATAGTAATACTTTTAGAAATTAATAAAAACGAAAAAATAACGAGCTCTAATAGAAATCTAATCAAAATTTATTAAAACATTTATTGAAAATCCTAATAAAATATAGTGTCAGGTTATTATTTTATTTTATCGATAAACCAATGTAAACATTTAAAATTTCTTTTGTGAATATTTAGTTTTATTAAAGTTATTTCTTCAATTTATAAATGTAATGAATCACAGTAGTTACGTAACACAGTAATATTGACACAGTTTTATCCACAATCCTCGCCAATAATATTAAGATTTACAATTTCTTTAATATTTTTTCATACACGACTAAAATTATAAGTACAAAATATAGACATTTTAAATTTTAATGCGATCGTTGAAATTAACACTCGTCTTCGTGTTAAATAGTAACACGTTGTAAGGCGTGTTAAAACTTCCATGCGGTGTGTTTATTATTACACCAAATCGTGTTGTTTTTACGCAATTACCGCAAATGGATTTTGTTGAAATAAACAGAATTTGGATAGATTGTTGAATGAGTAAGTAGTTCTTCAATTCTTCAATATTCCATTATAAATTCAGATAAATCGAAAAAATCAGGTTAGTCCGCAATTCAATTAATGTTTCGTAAATTTTTTTTTCACATATATTATTAAGTAAATTCTTGCGTCATTTGTGATAGCAGACTTGTAATTTAATTGTTATTTTGTTATATTTCGTTTTTCTAGTATTATTTTATTATTCAGAAATATTATTTTATTTATTAATTTTATTGTTATTATTTGCTTTTATTTTATATTAAATCATCATACTACGCATATGATTTTAATGTAAATTCTATCCTTTGTACTCTTATTTATATAAATTTATGTTATTTATCATTATTGCTAGATGTTATATTATTTAACAGTTGTAATAAATATTGTAATTAAGAAAAATGTGATAGCAGACTTAATGGCAATTTATTACTAATAACTTGAGTGTCTACATCACTGATTAAATAAATATTTTGCTGCAGAATTAATTTTGATGCCATCGTAGTAAAACAGTTTTTATGCAATAGATCAGGGATAAAATGATTTAAATTCGAATTTACCAAAGTTAAAAATTCCTACAAATTTAATTTAGATTTATTAGTAGTAAATTAATAACCAGTGTGTTAATTATATTAAATTAAATTTCATTACATAATACAATGATTTTAATGTTTATTATATGTTAAAAAGAGCTTGAAAGAATGCTTTCTGCATGAAAATTAAATTAGCATTTATTAAACAAGTAATTTCTTTGTAAAATGTACTTATAGTGTATTTATTTTATATTTAAAATATAAATATGCTTTTTTAAAAAAATATTTCGTTAAACAGTCCCAATGGATTTAGAGGTTAAGTGTTTCATAAATATTTTTAAGTGTCATAATATTTGAGTTCACAAATGCTATCACATTTTTTTCATTATCTCTTTTATTTACAACTGTCCAATAAAGGACATTCAATAAATTTGATGAATTTACAATAGTCGGCCGAAAAGGGACCTTGTTTACTACAAGGGCATGTTGGAAAAAATAACTCAATAGTTGTTTTTCCATTCGATATAAAATTCACAATAATTTATTGATAAATATATATTTTAACTATTTACTTATTAAAATAAATGCTATCACATAATGTACTTTTACTTAATGAACTTTTAATTGGTTTGCGGACTATCTAAATGTTAATATTAAGAACTCAAACTTTTACACAATTTTTCTTTATCATTTTAGAAGCGTTTGAGCCCTTGGGAGCAAAGAAATTCGAACAAATCTATATTAAGGACCCCCCTAATATACACATATGTACGTAAGCATGTATTTATTTATTTATTTAAATATTTATAAATTTATTATTACCTATTTATCCTATGTTCGGGTGTCGCCGAAGCGTTTCGTGTCACATCGACGCCTCCGAGAATTTCAGGAGCCCTATGAGCGGGTCCTCCGTCAGTCAGGGACGTATCTGTGGTGCCCCCGTTGGGGTCCTGGAGATTATCGCTCGATTGATTCAAATCCTGGGAGCGAATCGGTGATGAATTTGGAGTTTGTTGGAGGATCGAGTTTGCTGAAAAATAAAAATAATTATTATACATATGTAATAATAAAAATATTTGTTAATATAATTATTTATAAATATTGAAACTGAAAATAAATGAATTATGAAAAGTTTAAGCTAGTTTCGCATTTATTTATTTATTTATTTATTTTACAAGCCGTCGGTATAATATTATAATAAGGCTCAAGTCAATATTTTACAGATTTAATATAACTTAATTAACTATTAGCTATTTTATTATTTATTTATCTATTATTTAATTTGTTTACTATTTAATTATTTAATTATTTTGTTTAACAAATTTTAGGTTATTTTATATTTTAACAAATTTAAGTGTCTTATATTATTATTATTAAGTATTTTTACAATATAAGACAATAAAGAATTACAATGACAATCATATAAAAATAATAATTATAAAAAAATACGTCTCAAGTTCTCATTTGACTAATCTTCAGTGAAAAAACTACAGTAAATGTAATACAGTAAGATATATTTTTTCCTTATACTGTAATATTCAAAGAATGATATAATCTGATTGACGATTAAAATTTGTATTTGTATAATTTGAGTATCTTTGACTAGCAGAGTTTTTTATTTAATAACCTATGATGAAGCTAATCGTAAGCCTTTTCAAAATTAATTTGTTATATATATATATATATATATATATATATATATATATCTTGTGTTTTTATTTATTATATCTTCGTCTTTAAATGAAATTGTTGCCGAATGATGAAAACCTCCGTTTCGTTTTCCGACTTGAACAAATTCTTTGGAAAGATCAACGTATCACTTTCAGGAATTTATAAAAGGGATGTATATATAAACGTCCTTCTAGGACGATTTATATAAATGTACGTACTTATATATATATATATATATATATATATATAGAATTTTATGATATGAGTGGAACGAATATTAATTGTTTAATATGAACAAAACAGCACTCAGATTTGTTTAACACAACTTTATTTTATGATTACAGACGTTTCGAGACCATGGTGTGTCTCATCTTCAGTGTAATTTCAAAAACAGTTACTTATATACTACACATTCTTTACTAATTTATTTAAATTTCATTTAATTTTTGATATACAAAAAACACCAACTATTCCTTGCAATGCTTGACACAGTACTAACGAAACATATAACACTTTTGTTTACATTATAATGATACCCTCTCTGTCTCCATCTATATAAGTACTTCAAATTTGTTTAGAATATTTCTGTAAGTGTTATATGTTTCGTTAGTACTGTGTCAAGCATTGCAAGGAATAGTTGGTGTTTTTTGTATATCAAAAATTAAATGAAATTTAAATAAATTAGTAAAGAATGTGTAGTATATAAGTAACTGTTTTTGAAATTACACTGAAGATGAGACACACCATGGTCTCGAAACGTCTGTAATCATAAAATAAAGTTGTGTTAAACAAATCTGAGTGCTGTTTTGTTCATATTAAACAATTAATATATATATATATATATATATATATATATAATATATATATATAAAGTTTTCAACCGAAGTTTATCAATATTGTTTTTCCATGTTTCGCAACTTAATATTTTTACTACTTAATTTTTCTAAAAACTTGTAACTATTTTTGTATTCCTAACATTATTTTTTTTTTTTCAAAATAGTTCTAAAATTTTACATCAAATTTATAACATACATAATTTAATTAGTACTCAATTTTTCAGCAAAACTTTTTGTTTTTATTTAATACTTCATTTTTCAACGAAACAAAGACCATAAAGCTAATTATCTTATAAAATTAAAACTTTCTTAAACTTACTTTCTCCCAATATTTTTTCTTTGAATTTGAAAAATAAATTATCGAACTAAATCAACTATCGAATATATGCATTATGAGTAATTTTATCAGTAATAGTTCATGTAATAAAACAAAAATGAATCAAATATATAAAAAAATTAAAATTTGCAGAAAAGTAAAATTTTGAAGTCTAATTGAAGATTAGTATAAAAAGTTGTTTTTTTACGACATTGTTAAAATATCTTATTCAAACAATGTTTTTTACATAATTAAAATAGTATAATAAAACTATTAAAATTTAAAAATAATATTTACCTGATCCCGGCCTTGTAATATTGTCTGGATCTGGACTTCCTGGTGAGACAGGGCCGTTTAAGGGGGTGCTAGATCTACTTCTATCCTCAATCTGAAAGTAAAAATTAAATATTTGTAAATTTCAATACATCTTATTAGAAAATAATAACAGATAATTCTCTTAATAAAATTTAGTATGTATTAACAAATATATATTCGGCCATCATTTAATAAATAATTAATACTGTATAAATAAATAATACAGTATTCCAATTTGAACCGGGAAAGTAATGTTGTTTTATGACATTAAATGCAAACAAATAAATTTAGTACAATTGTTTTTTGGGAAAATATCTGAAAATTTGCATAATTCAAATATCCACATTATTTGCAACCCACTATCATCATTATTGAAAGCTATCATTATTGAAACTCTTTTTTAGCAAAAATGTTAATTTTTCATTAATATTTTTTTTAATTGATATATTATATTCATATCTTAGTCAGACATGGATACAAGATTATTGAACATTATATATAAAATTTTCATATTTTATATATATACATATCATTTATGTCCATTTAATTACAGATTAATAAGTCTTATATTTAAAATATCTTTAAATATCTCTTCAATCTTTTTTGTCTTCAATTTCTTTATAATGCAATAATTTATATAATTTCAAGAATAAATATAATTTCAATTTTAAACACAAATAGTAAAATTATATAAAATAATCAACAAGATTTTAGCTGTCCACGCACAGAGGACAACTGATTTATCAATATGAGTATTTGTTGCTTATTTTAAAAAATTAATTATTTAAACAATATTATATTTTATTATCAATATTTACCTTGTCGCTGGAATTGATGGAATCCGTAATATTCGCATTTCCATCCCTTTTTCTTTGCTCCTCTTTCAGACGTTCAGCTTTTCGCCATTTTGCTCGCCGATTTTGAAACCATACCTGAAATTAATAGAAATTGATAAAATTAAATATTAATTTAATATAACATGTAAGAAAAATATTATCGTAATAAATAGTTTAAAGTTTTATCTTGATAGTTAATACAAAACAATTATCTGAAAATATTGAAGTAACGCTTACCATTGCATGCATTACGAAACCTAAGTTAAAATGTATGAGGAAGCCTTGTGTTAGGTTCGGACGACATGGAGAGATTTATTAGTAAATAGATTTACTTAAACGAAAAGTTTTTTTTTTGACAATTTTAATGAATTTTCTATGATAATCAGGTTCATACTCTTAACAAACATTACAAAATATTATAGGCCTACTAAAAGTGGTTTCATTATAAAAAATTATAATTGAAATTGACTTTATTATAGAATTCATGATTTTTCAAGTAAAACTTCATATGTATTTAATTCAAGAATATCATTTTTTATTGAATATATTGATTATTTGCATACATCGGGACTTTGAAAAACTGTTTTTATCTTCTGGTCGATATTTACTTTGCTCGTCATTAGCGTCTACGTTTTCTACTACTAAATTTAAAGTTATTTTATTCGTTAGTAGTCCTCCTGTTTTTATTTTCAAAATTGATAATAGGTTGTCAAATATCTCCCTTCCGCCTTTTTGTATTATAAACCAAGAGCAAAAAAGCGGAAGGGAGATATTTGACAACCTAATATTTAGTTTGCTGTCAGTAGAATCCCTTCTCTAGTTGTTCTTTCATGTAATTAATCACCTGGTCTTTCTTTGCCATCTTACAGTTGTTCTAGTCGTCAGTAGATTTCCTTCTGTTTTTCGATATTTTAGTTCTTATTCCTTCTAATGTCGAATTCCTTCTAATTCAGGTTGCTATTTAAAGTTGTCTTTTTAATTTTTAAATTGCAAATTATTTTATTTGCTAGTTGAATCCTATCCTGGCTTATTAATTTGCTCATCATTATAGTTGTCTATTTGTAGAATCTTTCTTTTTTCAGCACTTGTTTCTTGTTCTTGATATATATATATATATATATATATATATATATATATACATACACATTTATATATCTCGGTTCTCGTCGTTTTATACATTTTAAAAGATTATCCTATTTTCTTTTGACAGATGGTTTTTACCGTCTGCCATTACGGAATATTAAGCCAGCGGCCATTTTCTGTTCGGCTCTTTTGCTCGGTGTGGAGGGTGAGATTTTTTATTTTCCGTCTTCGGGAAAAAGGGGCGCCCTTTCTCTTACCAAAGAGGAAAGAGGCTTTTGTACTAGTACTAACAGCCGACATGTGATTTAATATTTAATATTTGAAGAAGAAGGCAATTTAAAATTTGGCGCGGTTCGCTGACGGTGCGGTGCGGTGTAATTTAATAGGTTGTGTACATACGAAGGATAAAGGATAAATAGAGATATATGTATATATATATATATATATTATATATATATATATATATATGTATACTAGCTGACCCGGCAAACGTTGTTTTGCCATAAAAAATATTTCTAGTATAAAATGTTTAGCACGAAAATAACGAACACAAGTAAGAGCTAACAAAAATATATGAATAGTTTACCCACTGCAGAGCATGCAAGATATAAATAGTCTTTGCAAAAGCCAACCTAATATGAAACTGAATCTATTTAAATTAAATTGGCATATTTAATGTCAAAATCTTGACAAATTATTTTCGTGTTTTTTATTAATTTAGCCATGTTTTAACTTCCCGTAGGGTAAGCTATAGTAATCGCAAAAAAATCGGTGATGAAAATTTTTGCATATCAAAAAGGTTTTTGAATATTTTGGCATACCTTAGAAAAAATTGATGTATGTGTGTGTGTGTGTGTGAGTATGTTTGGATACAATTTTTGTCTACGATTTCTGCCGCATGGATTTCCTGATTTGAATGATTCAAAAAACCTTTTATTTGTATTGACGAAGCGAAGAATAGGCAAAATTTTTGAGTAGGGAGGTCTACCGGTTTCGGCAATATAGAGAAAAAAGTAAAAAAAAATATATTTGGTGGTTTAAAATGATTATTAAAATCGTTAGACATATTCACATCAAATTATCAGATATTTTATAGCTATTTTAATAATAAGAACAAATTTTGTTATATTTTGTGGGTTTCGTATCAAAATTTTTAATTTTTAAAGTTCACTTATTCGGTTCAAACAAATTACAAAATCTTCAGAAAAAAAATTATTTTCAAAAGTTTCAAAAATATACTAAGTTTTACTTTACTAGTCACTTCACATATAAATTTTGAATTTACAATTCAGTTTAAAACTGTACGAGGTGTGTTCAAAAAGTACCCGGAATTACTAATAATTAAATTTCGCGGGTCTGGAGTGTCTGATTGTCAAAATTTTTTTTTATTGTGTTGGTATACATGCCCCTAAAGTATGATGAAATTTTCAGCTATATTCACTGTTTACTTTGTCTGTGGTAGTCGCTAAGGTTCGACGTGTTTTTCTGAGCTCGGCGATTTTTACAATGGAAGAATTGAAAAGTCAAAGAATTTGTATTAAATTTTGCGTAAAAAATGAAATGAAGTGTTGCAAAGTGCAAAAATTCACCAGATATGGCTCCGTGTGACTTTTTCCTATTCCCAAAGTTGAAGAGACCCATGAAAGGACGGCGGTTTTCCTCGATTGAAGAAAATCGCTGAGAGTGCTCAAGGACATATCAAAAAGTGAATATCAAGGGTGCTTCGAAAATTGGAAAAAACGCTGGCATAAGTGTATTATATCTGGGGGGGACTACTTTGAAGGGGACCACATTAATGTAGACGAATAAATAAATATTTTTTTGAAAAAACGAAAATTCCGGGTACTTTTTGAACAGACCTCGTATATATTTCATATGCATTATTCTACGCGTAAGAAATATATCTAAATATAAATATAAATATAAATTATGAATTTACAATTCAGTTTAAAAATGTATATATTTCATATGCATTATTCTACGCTTAAGAAATATATCCTCAGATGGATTCATTCGGCACTTCTTAATGTAAACATTTTCAAGTGTTTTTGGTGATAAGATCATCGCTGTATATTATATGAACGAATAAATAAATATATAGAAATTATCTCTTTGAAAATATTTAAAATAATTGTTACTAATCATTGATCAATAATTCTTGATTATTATTTTTTTTGCTTGTATATTTAATTGTGGCACGGAAAGTTCCAGCAATTTGCTCTAAGGCACGATGCCATGCACCATTAGTTTGCAAATTATTAAGAACAAATTATTTTTTATCCACTTTCGAGAATAGTCACTGCCCTTCTGCTGCTCCTCCTGCTCCTGGCGGAGTTAATTGAAACGGAGACAACTCGCCGAGAGAATTAACTCGAAAAGTTTTCGTCACTCTGATTCGCAAAATGTTGAAATTAATTAACTCGACTTAACTCGATTAATTTAATTTAGGCATCAAGTTGGACTTGTATCAAAGTAGAGAAGAGCTGGAATGTGTTTACTTTAATGGATTTTTTTCTATATATAATAATCTATTATATTTCCCCGTCCCTAGAGAGATGTGGTACAGTTTAGACTTTTAACCGCAACGCGGTCGTAAATTTTTAAGCCCTCGGGCTGCTGCAGGAGCTGCAGCAAGGGAAAGCCCTTTCGTCCCGCCATCGAGATAGCCCGCGGCCTCTAAGTACGGAACCCTACCGGGAATATTATTGCGGATATAAATGTATCTACATATTATATTATGGACTTATATATCTAATATAAATATATATTATGGAATTATATGTATATAAGAAAAATATTTTTGGAATCTTTAAAATTTTTGAAAAAATAGATCTTTTTGAAAAATTTGATTTAGGGTAACGTTATAATAATCGCAAAAAATCGAAAATGAAATTTTTTATACATCTTTATGTTTCAGATGTTTCTGAACATTCTGGCATATACGGTGTGTGTGTGTTTGTGTGTAGGTGCTATACAAATTTTCGTCGATGATTTCGAGAACACGGTTCAATTGATTTTGAAAAATATTCTATTCTTATTGATAAGGAGAAGTGCTGATTAGTTTTTTGACAAAGCAGGTCCGGTCGTTTCGGAGATACAGGGCAAAATATGCTAAACATGGTAACTCAGTTTTTGTGAGAACGGAACGTCCGATTTTTATAGTTCAAAAAACATTTTACTTGGATTGACAAAATGAAGAAATGATTAAATTTTTTGGAAGGCAGGTTTCGAAGATCGATTTAAAAAAAAAAATGCCTATTGGGGGTCAAAAGTGCTCATTACACATATGCACATCGAAATAAAAGATATTTTATAGGATATAAATTTTGTTTTTATAAAAAAAATCTGTAGATTATCCGATAGACTGCGACGATGGCTTTGACAAAAACAGACAAAAAGTTTAAAATTTTCATATTATAAAAAAAAACTATTTTTCAAAAGTCATTTTTTCCAAAATTGTCAACCTTCCAAAAATATCATATTTTCAATATTTTAAAAAAGTTTAAAGGCTTTTTTAACTTTTCAAAGGTAAGTTATAGTAATGGGTCAAACATCGAAAATGAAAATTTCTGGCTTCACGTTTCAGAGGTTTCTGAACATTTTGGCATACCTCAGAAAAGATGGTTGTGTCCGCATTTTTTCGTCCATGTTTGATGATAGGGAGATGTTATGATTAGTTATTGGCAAATACAGGTCCAGCCGTTACGGAGATCCGGAGCAAAATGTGCAAAAAATGGCAGTTTTTAATATAAATAATCATCCGATTTGAATGGTTTAAAAAAATTCTGCTTGTGTTGATGAAACGATTCTTTTCGGATAAAAAAAAAAAAAATTTTTTAAATTTCCAAAGTTTTTTGAATATCGAAAATAATTCGGATTTCAAAATTTTAATTCGGTACGGGCAGTTCCGGCAATTTGCCTCAAGGCACTATACCATACAACACTAGTTCTATAAATTGATTCGAAAAAAGAACAATTGGAAATTAGTTTACTTCAAATATAATTGTCATCAGACAAAAAACAAAACAAAATATCATTATCAACTGATATATGTCACAACCTTATCCTCAGTGTGCTTATCCTATTTCCGATACAATACTAACCACCTTCATTTCACTCAAATTGTCAAAAAACCAAAAATCCAAAAAAACAAAAGATTTTAGACGTCATTATCAAAATTTCCAACTTGAAACCACCAAACTAATGTTTGAATCCACAACTATTTTCGATCCAAAATGTTTTGCAAAACACCAATCGTGCTTTGGCTATCGGTCGCCATTTTGGCGACCATTTGTGGGATTTCTGGAAATGTCATCACCAGGAATGATATGGAAACTGTGGTGACCACTAGAAGCTACCGGGAAGCTTATACTTACACCCAGGAGAACGGATTGTTGGTCCTGGATATATTTGGTAAACTATAGATATATATACTAATATATATATACGAGGTGTGTTCAAAAAGTACCCGGAATTACTAATAATTAAATTTCGCGGGTCTGGAGTGTCTGATTGTCAAAATTTTTTTTTTATTGTGTTGGTATACATGCCCCTAAAGTATGATGAAATTTTCAGCTATATTCACTGTTTACTTTGTCTGTGGTAGTCGCTAAGGTTCGACGTGGTTTTTCTGAGCTCGGCGATTTTTACAATGGAAGAATTGAAAAGTCAAAGAATTTGTATTAAATTTTGCGTAAAAAATGAAATAAAGTGTTGCAAAGTGCAAAAATTCACCAGATATGGCTCCGTGTGACTTTTTCCTATTCCCAAAGTTGAAGA